TCACACCAATCCTAGCACTTTGGAAGGCTGAGGTGGGAGGATTATTTGAGGTCAGGAATTCAAGACCATCCTGACTAACATGGTAAAACCTCATTTCTACTAAAGATACAAAAAAATTAGCCAAGCATGGTGGTGCATGCCTATAATTTCAGCTACTTGAGAGGCTGAGGCAGCAGAATCGCTTGAATCCCGGAGGTACAGGTTGCAGTGAGCCGAGATCGTGCCACTGCACTCCAGCCTGGGCAACACAGCAAGACTCCATCTTAAAAAAAAAAGAAAAAAAAAATCCTGCTAACTTTAGTTGCGTCTTAAAGACAGGAACTAAGTGACTAAGGGGAAGGAAGAAGACTTTCCATTGTGTTATACTATATAAATGTTGACCCATGTGAACATATTACATATCAAACAATAAATAAAAAGAAAATTTAGAATATGTCACAAAAATCAAAGAGCTATGACAATAAAAAATAACAAGCAACTATAAAGAACATTTTGGAGACAACTGGGGAAATCTGAACATGGGCTATGTATTATACAAAGGCAGAAAATCAGTGTTAGATTTCCAAAAACTGTTTTTTTCATTCAAAATTGTGTTATGATTATGTATGGTTCTTAGAAGACAAAATCTGAGTATGTAGGAGGAAAGCATCATGAAGATTGCATTTTACTTCCAAATAACTCAGGGAAGTACAATCATATACAGTGATAAGGCAAATGTGGCAAAATGTTAACAACTTGTGAACAAAGGTGAAGGATAGTTATATGTTCATTGTAAAAAAAATTTTTTTTTAGTAACAGCTTTACTCTTAATTACTTCATGTACCATCCTTTTAAAGTGTCCAATTCAATGGTTTTAATATATTTGCAGAATTGCACAACTATCACCACGATCAATTTTAGAAAAGTCTCATGGTCCCCAAAAAAGCAATCCTGTGCCCATTAGCAATCACTCCTCCTTCCCCTCCAACTCCTGGCAACCATTTTCTGTGACTATGAATTTGTAGTCTACTTTCTGTGTCTATGACTTTGCCTGTTCTGGATATTTCACATAATGGAAATTATGTGATTTCCATGTGGTCTTTTATGACTAGCTTCTTTCACTCAGCATAATGTTCTCAAGGTTAATCCATGTTGTTGCATGTGTCATTCCTTTTTATTGCTGAATAATATTCCATTGTATGGATATACCACATTTATTTATCCATTCATCCATTGGTCAATGGACATTTGGGTTGTTTCTGCCCTTTGGCTATTATAAATAATGCTGCTATGAACATTCATGTCAGTGTTTTTATGTGTGGACATATGTTTTCATTTTTCTTGAATCTATACCTAGGAGTAAAATTGCTGATCACATGGTAACTATGTTCATTATACTATACTTGCAACTTTTTATAGCATTAAAAATTTCAAAAGAAAAAATTAGAGGAAAACTTTTATAAAGAAAGAATAGGCTGGACATAGTAGCTCATTTCTGTAATCCCAGCACTTTGTGAGGCCGAGGTGGGTGGATTACTTCAGCTCAGGAGTTTGAGACCAGCCTGGGCAACATGGAGAAACCCTGTCTCTACCAAAAATACAAAAAAATTAGCCGGGCATGGTGGTGCACACCTGTGGTCACAGTGGCTTGGTGGGCTGGGGTGGGAAGGTCGCTGAGCCCCGGAGGCAGAGGTTGCAGTTTGCTGAGATCATGCCACTGCACTCCAGCCTGGGCAACAGAGTGAGACCATCTCAAAAAAAAAAAAAAAGAAAGACAGAAAGAATAGTAACATAATAGTGTATTAACCAAACTATCTCACACTCAGAAATAGTATGTATATACGTGGTTGTAGGTAGCACACAACTCATATTCCTAGCAAGAGAATATAGTAAATGCTTCCTACATCTTCTGAAGAACTAATTTATTGACTTGCAAGATGATCAGCAAACAGCAATTATTTATCTGGACTAGATAAAAAAATCTCGATTTTTAATAACACGCAATGATGCATACAGAAAAGAATATGGGCTCTGAAGTCACACAGCTAAGCTATATGACTCTAAGCAAAGTGTTCAACTTCTCTGGAACTCTATAAAAGGTGTACTATTTTACACCTATACTTCAAATCAGGTAACAGAGAAGAAGGTCTTGCATAGTGTCTGGCACACAGTAGTTGCTCAACACATGCTAATTTCCTTCAGAATAGGTATATATAAATATTCCCCCCACCACCACCTTTTTCTACAAGGTGAAAAATCAATTATTGTTTTATTAAAGAACAATGACATTTTAGTTTTCAAACCATAAAACTGTATGAGTCTACTTCCAAGTTGTTTTATTTCTGGCCTTTCATCTGAGCTCTAGACCCCCATTTCCAACTGCCTGCTAAATCTTTACTTGAAAATCTGCTAGCAACTCACACTCAACTTGCCCCAATTTTAGCTTACTACTTTCCTTCTAAACCAGCTCCTCTTCAGTTCCTCTTGTCTTTTCAATTCTGTAAACAATATTATCACTGGAGGGGCAAAACCTAAGTATCATCTTTGACAGCAACCTCTCATTATTCCCACCATCCTGTTGACAAGACCTATAGCCTTCTTGTCAGCATCTCTTTTCCCACTGTCTTGCAACCAGGAGGCCCTCCTACCGCCTATTAGGCTACCCTCGTAGACTGCTACACTAACCTTTTCTCCTGTAACCTCTCGCTTCACCATCCCATTACACACACAGTGCCACAGTAATTAGTCTAAGATGAGAACATGATACTCCCTGTTCAAAACTTTTCATGGTTCCCCACTACTTACCAAATTAAGTAAAAATTTTCAACCTGGAACACAACTATTCACTCATTTCTTCAATAAACATCTATTGAGCATCTATTATATGCTAGGCTCTGTTGCAGGTGCTAAAGGCACAGCAGCTGTGATGGAGCTCACATTCTAGTTTTTGAGAAAAGGAAAGAAAAAACACCCTAAACAAACAACAGTAACTTCAGATGGCAATAAATCAGGGGAATAAGATCGTGACTAAAAGCAGAATAGTTTTGGTAGGATAGTGAGAGAAGGTTTCTCTGAACCAAGACTTAAAGATGAGAAGACAACTACAGTAAGAACTTTCCAGGGAGAAAGACTTGCAAGTAACAAAACCCTGAGGCCCTTTTGTATTCTGAAATATCCTCCCATCTCAAAACACCTGCTATCTTCTTTCCTACAGTTGCTTTCGAAATCCTACCTGCCATTAAAAGCTCAACTTGGCTGGGCGTGGTGGCTCATACCTGTAATCCCAGCACTTTGGGAGGCCGAGGTGGGCGGATCACAAGGTCAGGAGTTCGAGACCAGCCTGACCAACATGGTGAAACCCCGTCTCTACTAAAAATACAAAAAAAATTAGCCTGGCCTGGTGGCATGCATCTGTAATCTCAGCTACTCAGGAGACTGAGGCAGGAAAATCGCTTGAACCTAGGAGGTGGAGGTTGCAGTGAGCCAAGATTGTGCCACTGCCCTCTAGCCTGGGCGACAGAGTAAGACTCCATCTCAAAAAAAAAAAAAAAAAAGGCTCAGATTCTACATTCTCCATGAAGTCTCCTTGAATCTTCCGACTTTGCTCCCTTCCCCCATTCCATTAATCAGGTGGGTATTTGCCTTCATCTGGGAATATGAATTAACATATTCACCTTTCTCTTTAAGCAAACATATCTGAACTCATATATCCAAAGGAGTGAAATACTTCAAACAAATCATTTTCCATTCAGTCCAATGTACAATTACTAAGTGCCTACTATGTGCAAGGCACTATTTCAGGCTGCAGGCTCTAGGGACACAAAAATAAAACTGAGTAATTCATTTCACTGACTTTCAGTCACTTTCAGGCACTCACAATGCTTCTGAAATTATTTTGGTATTGCTTTTTGTGCCAGGCAGTGGGTGGCACATCACAAACATTCTCATTTCTTTATCAGCAGCAATGTCCTTCCAATAAAAGCAATTTTCCAGTTGATCAACATTTTTTTTTAAATACCTAAATTTGGCTCCAAATAACTCTTTGGCCACTCAAAAATACTTAAGTATGTCCTTCTTAAAAGTAGATGCTTGCCTCCACTAAGAATACTTAAAATGAAATCTATACTCTATGGCACAAACTCTAAAAGCAATTACAAAGGAGTTTCCAACACATGTTAAATAATGGACTTGTTCAAAGGAACGAGCAGATAACTCACTGATTACTTTAAAAGGGACAACATCTGCTTGAATAATAATTTGTTAAAAATTCACATTATTTTCAGCCAGGTGCATTGGCTCACACCTGTAATCCCAGCACTTTGGGAGGCGAAGGTAGGTGGATCACTTGAGGTCAGGAGTTCAAGACCAGCCTGGCCAATATGGTGAGACCCCCGTCTCTATCAAAAAAAAAAATACAAAAATCAGCTGGGCGTGGTGGCATGTACCTGTAATCCCACCTACTCAGGAGGCTGAGGCAGGAGAATTGCTTGAACCCAGGAGGTAGAGGTTGCAATGAGCTGAGATCATGCTACTGCACTCCAGCCTGGGCAACAGGGTGGGATTCCACCTCAAAAAAAAAAAAAAAAAAAAAAAAAAAATATATATATATATACACACACACACACACACACACATACATATATATATAGAGAGAGATTCATATTATTTTACTAAGTTACAAATTGGTTTCCAGAAAAAAGAAATTCCTATTATTTTATATACAATTCTCTTGTTGTATGAACTCTTTCCTAAGCAGCAAAATCAGTTATAATACAAGTTTTATGATTACTTCATTCTCAGTCTTTTGCTATGGCTTAGCAGCCAGTATAGTGTTAATAACACCAATGAAGGTGCCTAATGTATACCTGTTGATTAATGAATATGCATAAAATGTAATCCAGTTATTTATTTCACAGTTATTTCATCACAGATTTTCATTAACAGTGTAGAGAAAAACTCTTGAGCTTCTGTGGGATTAATAGGACAGCCACGTTTTCTCCCTCCCTCTTCCCCACACTGACCTGGAGCTGTATTTTTTCAGGATGGCATCCAAAAGGCCAACGAGCTCTTCAGCATTGATGAACTTCTGTGTGCTGAGGGTGTACATCTTCTCATAGAAGTCTGCGATCTCCATCCGAGCCTGAACAAAGAAGCAGAGCTGCTCTGACAGGTGGGAAAGGAGTTCTTCTACGTGAGGAGCAGTCCCACCCAGGGCACCACGGCCAGTCACAACCTTCTTCAGCTCATTATGTAAGGAAGTATAGATGGTGCGGATGGAATCCTTCCTGCTGAAGAAAGACTGGCCCCCTGGTAGGCAAAAGACATAAGCACATGATAAGTAAGAAGGAGAAACCATAAGTACCAAACACCTACCAGCATCCAAAAGCAAAGAATCCAAACCCACTGAGCTCCATAAGTTTTCATCTACCATATTCTCTATCTCCTATGATTGAGATATAAATAAATACTTTATGATTCATAATTTCCCTAAAGAATAAGCTAAACGAATACCTGACAGAATTCATTACTGTAGCAATGGACCTGTGTACGATTTGCTTACCCATGTACCAATTCTCCCCCAACTCAATTCAATGAGGATTCAGATTTACTTCAGAGCATAATTAACCTAGCAAATAACACCAACTGGAACTAAAAAGGCTACCTTTAACATAGATGTATTCAAAACAAAAGAACACACAAATTATGAAACACGATTGTTATTCCTGATATGTCACAATTTTTTGTTTCTGCTTTAGAGTTGTATTTTCCTTTGAATCTTATCTTTTAGATCATACCAGAAAATTGCATACATACATATATATTCCCTCTATGCAAGAAAACAGACTACTGGGATCTCAGGAGAATAAAGAAAATCTTAGCACTCTTGACAGACTGACACTATATGTTATAAATAATATGCACCACACTGTGAATTATTAAGACCAGGAACCAATTATAAATAACTGCTGCTTTAACTAGGGGGCTCCAAAGGAAATCATCAAAAAATAAAACCAAAAACATCTTTTCATAGCCAAAAAGGATCAAATAGCATAGATATCATTTACTCACTTCTGTAGTTATACATGACCAATTATGTTTCTAATTATAGAGCCAGTGTCATGGATGTTTCCTCAAGCAATTCTGCACCCACCAAAGGGCCAGAGGCAAGATATTAGGAAAATGAAAAGAAACAGGGCAGATTTAAAACAGTGATTTCTAGGAATATACAAAAAAATCTCAGAGATGGACAAGAGTTTACATTTTCTCTTCAATTAATTTACTATTATAAACATATACCTATAATTAGGAATAAAAATTATTTATCAAGGCATTTGTAAAACATCCTCTTAATAAATGAACCATTTCACAATATTGATTTTAATTCATTGCTCGGTTTATGTTTCAAGAAATGAACCTTCTTTCCCTTACTACTGGGGCAACCAACTTGTCCTAGTTTACCCAGGACTTTCCAGGTTTTAGCACTAGAAGTTTAGCTTCTCAGGAAATCTTTATAAGATTTTAAAATAAAGTCCCACATCCTAGAAATCCCTCAGCCCTGGGCAAATTTGAACAGTTGGTTACCCTACTTATTTCTGACACCCCAGACAAACTACTGATACTTTGAGAAGTGTTTTTCCAATATACTGTCTAAACCAGGGGTGTTCAATCTTTTGGCTTCCCTGGGCCACATTAGAAGAAGAATTGTCTTAGGGCACATATAAAATATGCTAACACTGACCACAGCTGATGAGCAAAAAAAAAAAAAAGCACAAAAAATCTCATACTGTTTTAAGAAAGTTTAGCCGGGCATGGTGGCTCACGCCTGTAATCCCAACACTTTGGGAGGCCAAGGTGGGTGGATCACCTGAGGTCAGGAGTTTGAGACCAGTGTGGCCAACATGGTGAAACCCCATCTCTACTAAAAATACAAAAAAATTAGCCGGGCGTGGTGGTGGGTGCCTGTAATCCTAGTTACTTGGGAGACTGAAGTAGGAGAATCACTTGAACCTGGGAGGCAGAGGTAGCAGTGTGCCGAAATCGTGTCACTGCACTCCAGCCTGGGCAACAAAGCGAAACTCCATCTCAAAAAAAAAAAAAAGAGAAAGTTTATGAATTTGTGTTGGGTTTCATTCAAAGCCATCCTGGACTGCATGTGGCTCGCTGGCCATAGGTTGGACAAGCTTGTTTCAAACAGATTGAGTAGCTGGCATATAATTTCTCCAACTAACACCATCAAAATCCATATGGGTACAGGTGGACCAGTTGTGACACCAATATCCCATATGGAACTGTTCTCTTCAGGGTTTGCCTTCCTCCCATACCAATATTCAGTTTAGTTATGCTGATTTTGTAGAGTGAAGGGTACAACATAAATAGGCCTCTGTGCCCACATCTAGGATAAAACCTCTCAGCTTAGGAGGGTAATAAGAGTGTCATACAAAACCCAAAAGCTGTGGAGGTCTGAAAGACTTGGTTTCAAACCCCAGCTCCCACGATTACAGGCTATGTTGATGTGCAAACTACTGAACCACTTTGAGCTTTAGTTGTCATTTTTAACATAAGACTGGTGATAGAGATAAAAACACAAAATGAAATAACATTTGTATGTATGTATGTAATGTGCCTGGAACAAAGCATATATTCTATAATACTAATCCGTTTCCCTTCTACTTATAACTGATACATCTTTTAAAACTCCTAATAATAATACATAAGAGCTTCTGAAACTGTGGTGAACTGGGAGCTTCAAGTACTACAAAAAGAATAGCTATCTAGTACTGTTAAACAGGGTGGCCTTGGTGAAAATTTTAACTTCGCATTGAAAAAGGGATATCATCTGTCTCTAGGACTTATGGGAGGAGAAAAAAAAAAGGATACCTAACTTCATCAGATCACCCTTATCTGGGGGAATGGAAACACTACATAAATACAAAGAATACCTTTAAAAGCTTATCGATAAATGCTAATCACCAGTATGTGAAACCAAGTAAAGTGAAACTACTACAAGGAAGAGATAGACCATCAACACATTTCTTTCAAACAGTTCTCTTTTCTCAAATCTCTCAGGAACCCAATCCTATCTGTTCACTATCTTGGTTTGGAATATCCAATGGGGTTTTGCACTGGAAAACAAGGAATCAGAAACATTCAACTTCTTTCTCTTTTCAATATTTTGAATTTATAAAATATGATTACCCTGAATGATTTCTAGAAGGCTCTAGTTATAAATGCTCATAATTTCTCAAGATTTCAACAGTTTATCTCATATCATGAAATTTTAAGTGTATCAAAGGAATGTGTAAAACATCTTGGGCATTTTATTCTCCAACTTCTTGCTAATAATAATTTTTAAACATCAGTTCTCAAGTTAAGTCATTTTCTACTATGCTAAATTTCAGCAACCCGAGGTTGAGGAAACTCTCCAGTAAAGAAACAAAGAGAAGAAAAGTATGACCTTCTAAAATTCTCCACAGGCATTGAGTCAGCATATTTTAATCACTGATCCTTCCCCAAATAGGTATTATTCTCTCTTAAAGGAAAGAGAAAGAGAAGAGAAGAAGATAAGGGCCCTACTTGAAGTTTTTCAGTAACAGGATCAAGACAGGAACAGAAAGCTCCCTGTCAAGGTCTATCCTTTGTCTAAAGGCCCTGCTTGCTTCTTTAATCAGGATTCACTGCTAAGGCCTCAAATAAATAGCATCCATAAAAGAGGTAAAAAAAAAAAAACTCACTTTTTACTTGAAATTTGCTAGGAGAGTAGATATCTTAAATATTCTCACAATACACGAAGGAAGGAAGGAAGGAAGGAAGGAAGGAAGGAAGGAAGGAAGGAAGGAAGGAAGGAACCGTGTGAGGTAAAAAAATCACTTTTACTTGAAATTTGCTAGAGAGTAGATATCTTAAACATTCTCACAATACACGGCATAAAGTATAATAAAGAAGGTTGAATAGCGTAAAATAAATAAGCACAGAAAGGCAGGGCAAAACTATGGGTAATGTATAATATAGCCACCGGGGGTAGAATATTTGTAATTAGAGGAAAGATCGAAGGAAGGAAGGAAGGAAGGAAGGAAGGAAGGAAGGAAGGAAGGAAACTATGTAAGGTAATGGGTATACTAAGTAGCTTGACTGTGGTGATCATTTCACAATTTATATATACATCAAAACATCAAGTTGTACATCTTAAATATATACAATTTTATTGTCAATTATATCTCAGTAAGGCTAAAAAAAACTTTTCAGAATTATGTTTTAAAATTTTTAAAAGCATGCATAAACTTTTTGTTTTGCTTTCTAAAGAAAACTATATAAATGTTCTAATGAGCAAAGTAGTTGGAGAACATGGGAATGTTTTAAATGGTAACACAAAAGTTTTCTCCTTAAGTTTTTAAGAAAACAGACAGTAAACCTGATAACTGTGAAGTCATATTGTAAGCACACTGATATCATATACACTCCAGTACCAAAAAAATATGTGCTATGATAAAATTTAAATTCTGGAACTTGTGTTTATGTGTTAATAAGTTATGAAGCATTAAATATACCATTTTCAGTATATTTACTCAGAAGTGAGGAGCCCACCTAGGAACCTAACAGTGCCTGGGCATGTTTCACAGAACCAAATGTTGTGTAGATCAGTTTCAAGGCATACCCCTCATGCTCACCCATGCCAGCTGGGGTTCAAGCAGAACTAATCAATTTACAAATTGAGGACCACTTTACGGAACCCAAGTTAGAGACAGTGAAGATCTTACATACACATTCTTACACACAGGCAGCCAGTTCTGTTTACATAAAAACCTGGCTCATTCAACTTAAAACTAGAGTAGCAGATTTTTTTTTAATGGAGTCAATAAATAGACTTTAGAAAATTCAGCTGAACCCACTCAGGTTATATGCAAAATTATATGTACATATATATTTTTCTGGAGAGTGAGTACACAGCTTTCATCAAATTCCCATGGATAAGTTAATTTAAAAAAAAGAAAAAGCAAAGAATTATGGCATTTGAATCAGTCACCATTCTTTGAGGTGGGGGAGTCTAAAAACAATTAAAACTGCCTAAATATAACCTGCCTTCAGTATTACAGCTAGAATCCACCCCATTTTCACATATATAAAAAACATATATATGTAGATATAAATAAATTATAATTTTCATACACATTTTTAATAAGTTATATAAACGTAAACTCAATCTGACAGTTCAAGGGCAGATATTTTGGTTTAGACTCTATCATCTACCCAACACAACTGCATATATAATTTGCTATTCTATAGAAAGGGGAATAATAACACCATAGCAGCAACTGCAAATTTGTGAGAAATGCCATTGTAAAAAGGGGAGAAAAAAATAAGGTGAAACTATCTGACGTTTTTGCTAATAAATTAGCATACTAAGTAAGTATGTATAAATCAACATACTTGCTACAGCAATTACAATCTTAGGAAGACCTGTCCCTTGAGTGTTTACTGAAAGCTCAGTAAGACGTACATGGTCACCTTCAGGCAATAAAAGGAAAGTAAGGGGCTGGTTAGGGAACGGGGGTGGTGATCAAAATGAAATCTACCCCAATTTTACATTTCTATTCTCTGTATTTTATATACGTGTCCTTCACTCACATCAGCCCTCATGCTTCTGAAAACTGAAGAGTCTAAAATAGGTCAAGTACTGACTCTAAAATCCCTAGGATTCAAATATATTTATTTGTCATAATTAAGCAATAATATTATTTTGTATGCATAATCCATGCCTTTTACATCTATTATTTCCTGCTCATCTACTTATACTTATTGCTTCTACTAGTAAAAATCAGTTGAATCAGCTCTTGAATCTTATTTTCAGAGGCAAGATGTACATGAGGTGCTAAGAGTGTTTACCATTTTCCCCTTACGTCTCCTCTTACTAGTGTTAGGCATATTTCTTGCCTTTCCTGCCCATTATTCATTTGTTACTTTAGTCATTAAATATGTATTGGGGGACTATGAAGACGGGGTAGGACTCCAAATGTGACTCTCGGGCCTTAACCTTAAGAGGCCACACAACAGTGTTCCGTAATAAAACTAGGTTGTTTTGCAAAGTTTTGCTCTTCTGGCTGCAGCGTCACTAATTAAAACAATGAAGACAAAGTCTGATTAACTTCTCATTTATGGCATCAATCCATGCACGAGGCAAAGGGGCAAACCCTTCGGTTTGGGTCACAGCCCTGCAAAGAGCATCTACCCAGTTCGCCAATCTATCAGCAGCGCAGGCCGGTGGGCGGGGCTTTTGGAAGCCCAGGGAAGGAAAGGAACGGTGGGAGGAGACCTGGGAATGCCGAGTCGAGCCTGCGATTAGAAGTGACACAGAGACAGGAAACCCAAGCCACTGCCGACTGGGGAATATACCCCCTTTCCTTCCTCCTCAAGGGGCTCGGGGGGCGGGGCGGAGGTACCTAGTTTCTGCCCCAGGTAGGTGAGGCTGTGATAGACCTTCTCGGCCGCGGCCAGGTGCGCCAAGGCCGCCAGCAGCGACAGCCAGCTGCCCCCCGCGCTCTTGTTGGCCTCTCGTTCCTTCTCCACATTGTCTTTAGCCTTGTCGTAAGAGAAGATACCCAGGTGAGAGAAGAATGTCTCCAGCACCGCCTGTTCCACCGGTACCGGGGCGGCCAGCGGGATAGACTCCCCCATGCGAGCTGCGCCCCAGCTCGACCCACGTGGCTCTCCTCGGCCTCGCACTTCCGGGTTCTGAGGGAACGGGCTTGCGCACAAGCGTGCGTGCGCGTGACCGCCTCCACCGGCGGGCTCGTGAGCGCGCCGCCGCCGGGACCGCTCCTGGGCCTTAGAGAAGACGCGGATAAGGACCAAGGAAAGAGAGAGGTAGCGGTTCCTGAGCTCCCTCGGCGCTTCGGCTCCTACAGCTCTGACTATTCGGACCCTCAGGGTAGAACGGGAGGCGACCAGTTCCCTGCTAAGGAGTTGCCTGCGCTCTGAGGTGAGCTGACAGGCCCCTCCCTGTGAGGTTCGTCAGCGCTGGTGACGTCATGCAAACGTGACGTCAACTCTGGCCGGAACATCTGGCCTGGGCTCTCCAGGCGCCTCGCTGGGCCGGCTGGGAGATGGGGAAGTGCCTGGAGTTGTGCTCACACTCACAGCAGGGACCCTAGTCAGCCCTGACAGCTTCTACACCAACTCAGGGAAGTGATTTGCTGAGGTTAGAAGACTGAAGGGTAAAGGTTAATCTCGTCACCATTGCCTAGTTTTCGTCACATCACACACCATCGGTTAACTCTCACCTGTGTCCCGTTCTAGTTCTCCCGGGTCTGTGTTAGCCCAGCAGCTAACAAGCAGAGCCCCTGGCCCAAACTACATTCACCTTCCTTAAAAAGTTACCTTTTTTTTTCTTTTCTTTTCTTTTTTGAGATGGAGTCTCGCTCTGTCGCCCAGGCTGGAGTGCAGTGGTGAGATCTCGGCTCACTGCAGCCTCCACCTCCCGGGTTCAAACGATTTTCCTGCCTCAGCCTACCTAGTAGCTGGGATTACAGGCCAGTGCTACCACACCCGGCTAATTTTCGTATTTTTAATAGAGACGGAGTTTCACCGTATTGGCCACGCTGGTCTTGAACTGCTGACTTCAAATGATCTGCCTGCCTCAGACTCCCAAAGTGCTGGGATTGCAGGCGTGAGCCACCGCGCCCGGCCAAGGCAGATTTTTAAACATGACAAAGGTGAAAGAGAGTGAAGGGAGCAATCATACCGTTTTGGAATAATTAAGGAGGCTTCCTGGAGGAGAGTGTGATGGTTCTTGATGAATAAATAGAGATAATCAAAAAAAAGTGTGGTACTATCACCAAAACCAATAGACAATAAAAGAGATTATAAAACTCATAAACATACCCATGTAATATGAGAATTCCTTAGGTAATGAAGGTGACATTATAAATTCGTGGGGGAAGAAACCTATTCAATTAATAGTGAAGGAAACATGCTTAACCATGGGAAAAATAGACTGTCACCTTGTTTCCTGAAGGAAAAAAAAAAGTGTAAAACACAAAACCAGAAACCAGAAAAAATACAAGTGACTAATTGATCTAAAGATAGAGAAGAACCTTCTAAATATAAAAGAATTGGAAGAACTTAAAAAGAATGAGATTGATTTGACTGTGTAAAATACCTAATGTAGATGACGGGTTGATGGGTGCAGCAAACCACCATGGCACATGTATACCTATGTTAACAAACCTGTCTCACGTATCTTGAAACTTAAAGTATAATAATTTTTAAAAAGTGCCATCCTGGGGATAAGATATCTATATGTCAGACAAAGGCTTAATGTACTTAACATATCAAGATCTCTTACTAACCAGTAAGAATAAAAAGACATGACTATATAAGTCCCCAAAGAAATATAAAACTCAAATAAGTCTTTTTAAATACTCAACCTTACTAGTAAAGAAATGCAAAATAAACTAAATTCTATTTTTCATCTACCAAACTAACAAAAGAAAGTGTTTAATTTTATCTCAATAGTTTTGGGGGTACAGATGGCTTCTGTTTATAGGAATAAGTTATTTAGTGCCGATTTCTGAGAGTTTTGGTGCACCTGTCACCTGAGCAGTGTACACTATACCGAATGTGTAGTCTGTTATCTCTCACCCCACTCCCAACCTTCCCTACGAGTCCCCAAAGTCAATTATATCATGTTTATGCCCTTGCATTCTCATAGGTTAGCTCCCAAAAGAAACATTTTAATTGCTGATAAATGTGCAATAAACATCTCCCCATTTTCCCCACCCCACAGACCCTGGCAATCACGATTCTACTCTCTGCTTCTATGAGTTCAACTTTTTTAGATTCCCCATATAAGTGAGGTCATACAGTATTAGTCTTTCTGTGTCTGGCTTATTTCACTTAATGTAAGTAACATCCTCCAGGTTTATCCATGTTGTCACAAATGTCAGTATTTCCTTCCTTTTTATGGGTAAGTATTCCATTGTCTGTGTTTACTACATTTTGTTTATCTCTTCATTTGTTGACAGACACATTGTTTTTGTATCTTGACTATTGTAAATAATCCTTTGGATATAAATGCAGAAGTGGAGTTGCTGGATCATATGATAGTTCTATTTTTAATTTTTTGAGGAACCTCCATACTATTTTTCCATAATCACTGTATCAATTTATATTCCCACCAGCAGTGTACAAGGGTTCCTGTTTCTCTGCACCCTCGGCAACACTTGTTATTGCTTGTCTTTTTTTTTTTTTTTAATAGAAATAGTCTTGTTGTGTTGCTCAGGCTGGTCTCAAACTTTTGGTCTCAAGCAGTCCTCCCACCTCAGCCTCCCAAAGTGCTGGAATTACAGGCATGAACCACCCCACCTGGCCATTTTTTGATAATAGCCATTCTAACACATGTGAGGTGATATCGTATGGTTTTGACTTGCATTTCCATGATGATTAGTTATGTTGAGTTTGTTTTAATATATCTGTTGGCTATTTTTATGTCTGCTTTGGAAAACTGTCTATTCGCATCCTTTGCCCAATTCTTAATTGGGCTATGTTTTCTTGCTGTTGAGTTGTATGAGTTCCTTACATATTTTGGATATTAACTCCTTACCAGATACATGGTTTGCAAATATTTTCTCCCATTGCATAGGTTACCCTTTCATTTTGTTGAGTGTTTCCTTTGCTATGCAGAAGCTTTTTAGCTTGATGTAGTCCAACTTGTTTATTTTTGCTTCTGTTGCCTGTACTTTGGGTGCATGTCTGAAAAATCATTGCCAAGACCGATGTCAAGTGACTTTCCCCCTATTTTTTTTCTAGGAGTTTTATAATTTCAGGTCTGATATTTAAGTCTTTAACCCATTTCAATTTAATTTTTGTGGAGGGTATAAAGTAAGGGTATAATTTTACCCTTTTGCAGGTAGATACCTTAGATACCTAGTTTTTCCAACACTATTTATTGAAGAGACCATCCTTTACCTATTGTATATTCTGGATGCCCATGTCAAAGATTAGTTGACTACATATGTGTGTGTTTATTTTTAAGCTCTGTATTCTTTTCCAGTGGTCTCTGTGTCTGTTTTTATGCCAGTACTATACTGTTTTGATTAGTATAGCTGTGTAATATAATTTGAAAACAGGGAGTGTGATATCTCTAGCTTTGTTGTTGTTTCTCAAGATTGCATTGATTATGTGAGGACTTTTGTGGTTCCATATGAATTTTGGGATTGTTTATTTCTATGAAAAATGCCATTGGAAGTTTGATAGGGATCACATTGAATCTAGATTGCTTTGGGGAGTATAGACATTTTAACAATACTAATACTTCAATCTGTGAACATATATTTGTGTCTTCATTTTCTTTCATCAGTGTCTTACAGTTTTTAGCGTACAGATTTTTCACCTCCTTGGTTAAATTTATTAATAACTATTGTATTGTTTTTGATGCTATTATAAATGAGATGTTTTCTTAATTCCTTTTTTAGGTAGTTTATTATTAGTGTATAGAAATGCAACCAATTTTCATTTGTTGATTTTGTATCCTGCAACTTTACTGAATTGGTTTATTAGTTCTAGTTTATTTATGTATTTCTCTCTCTCTCTCTCTCTCTCTCTTTCTTTTTTAGACAGGGTCTCACTCTGTCATCCAGGCTAGAGTGCAGTGGCATCATCACAGCTTACTGCAGCTTTGACCTCCTAAAAAGGTCAGGGCTCAGGCGATCCTCCTACCTCAGCCTCTGAAGTACCTGGGACTACAGGCCCACACCATCACACTCGGCTAATTTTTTTTATTTTTTGCAGAGTCAAGTGCTGCTATGTTGCCTAGGCTGATCTCAAACTCCTAAGCTCGAGCGATCCTCCTGCCTCGACTTCCCAAAGTGCTAGTACGGGCGTGAGCCACTGTGCCCAGGTGGGTTTTCTATGTATCAGATTATGCCATATGCAGAGATAATTTAATTTCTTTTCTGATTTGGATGACTTTTATTTCTTTTTGTTGCCTAATTACTCTGGTATATTCCTTCTTTAATTTGTTGAGAGTTTTTATCATGAAAGATGTTGAATATTATTAAATGCTTTTTCTTGCATCTACTGAATTGATCATATGATTTTCATACTTTGTTTAGTTAATGTGAAATATCACACTGGTTGATTTGCATATTTTGAACTATCTTTCATCTCAGGAATAAATCCTACTTGATCTTAGTATATGATACTTTTAATGTGGCATTGAATTTTGTTTGCTAATATTTTGTTGAGGATTTTTGCCTGTAGAGCCTGAAGTCAGGGATATTGGCCTATAATTTTGTTTTCTTGTAGTATCTTTATCTGGCTTTGATGCGAGGGTAATGCTGGCCTCATAAAATGAGTTTGGAAGTGTTCCTTTCTCTTCAGTTTTAAATGCTTGGTAGAATTCACCCATGAAGCTACCTGGTCTGGGCTTTTCTTTTTTCCCTTTCTTTTCTTTTCTGTTTTTTACTAGCCCTGCCAAAGGAAGACCTCAAAAAATTAGCTAAAAGCTCAGAGTCTTTCCTCTCCGCAGGAATCTTGAGTAAAAGGTGAAAATTATATGTGATCTGAAAAGCCAGAATATTGCTGGGTTTTTCTCTATTGGGAAGTTTTTGGTTACTGGATCAATCTCCTCACTCATAATTGATCTGTTCAGATTTTCTGTGTCTTTGTGATTCAGTCTTCGTAAGTTGTATGTTTCTAGAAATTAGAGTACCACCTTGAACTTAACAGATGTTCACTAAATACTTAATTGACTGATTCTTCTTGTCTCATAAGAATGATATAAGAAAATACATAGTGTTAATGACATGTCAAGCTGTTAAAACGTTAAAGTTATAAAGCGAGAAGTTACTTTGAATGGTTCAGCCCATAAGCAGGATATTTTGTATAGCAGCAATAACTATTTGTTTATTTTTATTTTTTTAGAGACAGGGTCTTGCTGTGTTGCCCAGGCTGGTCTCAAACTCCTGGACACAAGTGATCCTCCTGCCTTGGCCTTCCAAAGTGCTGGGATTACAATCATGGGATTACAAAGTGCTGGGATTACCACACCTAGCTTATTATTTGTTATTGGTAATATATATCTATTGTTGCATAATGAATAACCCCAGAACATAGTGGCTTAAAACAATAAAAATCCTTTATTATCTCTCACAATTTCTGTGAGTTGGGAATTCAAAAGTGGATCAGTTGGACAGTTCTATGTCAGTCTCTTATAAAGTTTCAGTCAGATGTTGGCAAGGGCTGTAGTCATCTAAAGTCTTGACTAGAGCTGGAGAATCCCTTTCTACAGTGGCTCTCTCACATTCTTGGCAGCTTGGCCTGAGCTATTGGCTACATGGGGCTCTCCACAGGACTGCTTGAGTGTCCTCACAGCATGGTAACTGGCTTATCCTGGAGCAAGTGATTAAGAGACCAAAGCAGGAGCTGCAATGCCTTTTATCACTTAGCCTCAGAATTCACACATCACCTCTGCCATATTCAGAGCCACCCTCAATTGAATTTGAGCAGGAGACTAGTGAAGGGCCTGAATGTGAGGAAGCAAGCATCACTGTAGGTTATCCTAGAGGCTGGCTTCCACAGATGATGATATTGTCAGCATAGATAATTATTTGTCTTCCTAAAAATATCTAAGGATGGGAGCCTTAACTGCTCCTTCAGTAATATTTTAATATTTTATTACTCAAGAAGCTGTTTCTTAATTTCAGGCAAAGTCTCTCTTAAGTCTAGAAAAACAACTCTGCTCAAGACCGTTGATTTGGTATTGCTCTTTATAGGTCTTTGAAAATAACCCTAGTGACAATGCCAGTGAAAAAACCATTTTAGTTGTAACAACCCATTTTGGGGACAAAAGGGCTTTAAGAACAAAGCAAGGCATTCATTCTTTCATGTATTCAATCAACAATGGACTACATTTAAAATATTTTTGGAGACAAGGTCTCGCTCTGTCACCCAAGCTGGAGTGCAGTGCTGTAATCATAGCTCACTGCAGCATCACTGCTGGGCTCAAGCACCCCTGATCCTGCTTCAGCCTCCTCTGTAGCTAGCACTACAGGCACATGTCATTGTGCCTGGCTCATTTTATTATTTTGTAGGCTGGGCGCAGTGGCTCGTGCCTGTAATCCCAGCACTCTGGGAGGCCGAGGTGGGTGGATCACAAGGTCAGGAGATCGAGACCATCCTGTGAATGGTGAAACCCCGTCTCTACTAAAAATACAAAAAATTAGCTGGGTGCGGTGGCGGGTGCCTATAGTCACAGCTACTTGGGAGGCTGAGGCAGGAGAATGGCGTGAACCCGGGAAGAGGGAGCTTGCAGTGAGCCGAGATCGCGCCACTGCACTCCAGCCTGGGCGACAGAGCGAGACTCTGTCTCAAAAAAAAAAATTTTATTTTATAGAACTGGGGTCTTGCTATGTTGCCCAGGCTTGTCTTGAACTCCTGACCTCAAGCAGTCCTCCCACCTCAGCCTTCCAAAGTTCTGGGATTACAGGCATGAGCCACTGTACTGGCTTGGATAAAATTTCATTTGTGGCCAATATATGCAAAGTAACATATTCCAAAAATGATTTTACAGTTTGTCATTGTGCCAATTAATTACTACCTAAAGTTGATATTGTTTGGGCTTACTTCCCTTTTCCTGATCAATTTTCTGTATGTGATACTAACAATAAAACTGTCATTAATATAGCACTTACTATGTGCCAAGTATTTTATACATCTTTTAGTATAGTATTTTTTTAGTCTTTGAGATGAGGTCTCACTATGATGCCCAGGCTGGTCTTGAACTCCTGAGCTCAAGCAATCCTCCTGCCTTGGTGTCCCAAAGTGTTAGAATTACAGGCATGAGCCACCACGCCTGGCCAGGTGCTTTATATATGACTGATCTTCCTGTAAGTCTTCAAGGTAGGAGTACTTTTAAACACTTGATTATGGAGAAATGGGGGCTCCAAAAACTTAAGTAACTTGTTCAAATACACAGAACTAGTAATTGATAAGGCTAAGATGCAAACCACGGTTTGTGTAGCTTTCCTTCATAAACCTGGCTGCTGTTAGTGATTGTCCATACACACACAGGCCTCCCACCTGAGTAGTAAGAGATTTCCACTTGTTATTCAGGCAATGTCAAATTGTTACGGCAGTTATCTTTCTTATCAACAGTGTGGTTGAAAGATGCTGTTTCAGGGAAAGTCTTTGGCTTACCAAGAGGAATCAAATATTTAACACAGAACAAACTTTTTCATTTTTTTTTTCAGATCATTTGCTAAAAGCACCACACAATTAGCAATATATTATTACATTATATAGCTCTTTAATATCTAACTTTTTTTTTTCTTCGAGATGGAGTTTCACTCTGCCGCCCAGGCTGGAGTGCAGTGGCGAGATCTCGGCTCACTGCAACCTCTGTCTCCTGGGTTCAAGCGATTCTCCTACTTCAGCCTCCCAAGTAGCTGGGATTATAGGCACGTGCTACCACACCCAGCTAATTTTTGTATTTTTAGTAGAGACGGGGTTTCACATTGTTGGCCAGGCTGGTTACAAACTCCTGACCTCAAGTGATCCACACGCTCAGACTCCCAAAGTGCTGGGATTACAGGCATGAGCCACCATGCCTGGCCAACATCTTACTTTCAACTAAATTACTTTTCCTTTCATATGACAACACTCACACATAAACACACTCTTATTTATACTTAATTAGCTCTTCCCATTTTGTTTTTCTATGTGTCTAATTATAATGAGATTTTAAAATCAAGGTTAGGGAATTATACAGAGCAATGAAATAAGAAACTAATCCAAGCTTCAAGAGAGAAATAATATTTTAAATCTGTTCTCTAAATAACCATTGCCCAGTGTTGGTCTAAAGCCATACTGTCAGATATGGTAGCCACTAGCAACATGCGGCTATTTACATTTTAAATGAATTTAAAATGAAATAAAATTTTAAAAATGTACTTCCTTAGTTGTGCTAGTCACATTTCAAATGTTCAGTAGCCTCCTGTGGCTAGTGACTGCCATATTGGACAGCACAGATATAGAAATTTTCATCATCACAAAACTTTCTATTGGACAATGCTAAAAAGAAACAATGTTATAAGAAAGACTTTCACAGATAAGATAAACCAAAATAAACCAAAATGAACAGCAAGATCCATGTGTTATTTTAAATCCTTTTTCACACTTTCATTCTTTTTGACAATGTATATATTTATGTTTTCTTTTTAAATTATATATGTATATACATCAAGTACTCAATAAATTTACCTATGGATATTTTGAATTTAGAAAGAAATGTGTGTGTACTTATATATACAAATTTCTTTCTAAATACAAAATAATCATTTATAAATATACTGAGTATTGTGTAAATTATAGGAGTTGTGCTAAGTGCTTTACATGAATTGACTCATTTAATCCTTAGTACAATGCTGTGTTCATTGTGAAAAATTTGGAAAACATAAAGCATATATAGAGAAATTTGGAAACATAAAGCTTATAAATAAAATAAAGCATATAGAAAAATAAAGCATATTAATCCCCAAACTAAGATAATCACTGTTGACATTTCTAGTGGATACTGTAGTATGCTGCCCAGATCCCAAGATACAGCTACCAGGAATGTTGGCTGTTGCTGGCTTATAATTTAATTCCTCTCTAAAATTGTCTTCAGTGATGGAAACTGCCTCACTCACCATTCCCCTCCTTGGGTCAACCCAAATCCAATGGTTGGTCAGTTGTGGAGGTACAAAGGCATCAAGTCAATTGGCACAATCTGGGACATCCCAGCTTTAGAGTGTCCCGTGAGACAAGTTAAAGTCTCTGTGGCGACTGCCCTGCAATTCACCTTCCCCCTCTGCCCAGTCCTGTCCCTGCTTCCCTTAACAGGTGCTGTTCCTGAGAGTTCTCACCTGTAAATCACCTACATACAAACCTCTACTTCAGAGTCTGTTTCCTGAAAAACTCAACTGAAGTCAACATTTTTGGAATATAAGTTCCATTTTTTTTCTTTTTGCATCCGTCCATTTAAAATTTTTAAATATTTATTTTGCTCTAAAAAATTTGAAATTTTCTTATTTTATATTAAATGTTTAGTTAATAATACTTTATAGATAATTTAGCATGTAACTATCTGCAACAGTATTTTTTTTTTTCTAGATGAGATCTTGCTCTGTCACCCAGGCTGGAGTACAGTGGCATGATCTCAGCTCACCACAACCTCTACCTCCCAGGTTCAAGTAATTCTCGTGCCTTGGCCACATGAGTATGTGAGTAGCTGGGATTACAGGTATGCACCACCATGCCCGGCTAATTTTTGTACTTTTAGTGGAGATGGGGTTTCACCATGTTGCCCGGGCTGGTCTCAAACTCCTGGCCTCATGTGACCTGCCCTCCTCAGGCTCCCAAAGTGCTGGGATTACAGGTGTGAGCTACTGCACCTGGCTCACAACACAATTTTTAACAGCCACCTGGGATTCATATGGCACGTGACACTCAGTCACTCTTGTATTGTTGGATATTTGGTATTCCCTGGTTTTCCTGTGGCCAACCCTAAAACTTAGCAGAGAAACACCCATTCCCAAATCCCTTCTCACTAACCTACCTCTATAATATCTAGGAATATTTAGTTTTGTAGCCTCACTTACAAGTTCCAGCCATTGAGAAATAAGCTCAAGTTTTGTGAGAGTTGAGGGGGAAGTTCCAGGAAACATTTTGCCTTCCGGATAAAATGAGACAGCCAAAGCTGGTATCATTTCTTACCTGTTTCTGCTTGGTAAGGAATGAGATGTTCAGAGCTATCGTACCCATTTTTCATCCGTGAGAGAAAAGAAATTAGATACTTGGCTTTGACAAAATCACTGAACATTTAAACCAATGCTTTCAATCGCCTATCTCTGGATTTCTTGATATGATGAGTAAACTAAGTATTTTTTTAATCTACTGTGTTTGGCAGCTTAAATGTCACTGTTCCTTACATTCATAATTTGAAGTATGCAGTGATAAACATCGTTGTATGTAAATACTTGAATTAACAACTTAACAAAAAAGTCAGGGAATTAGGACCCTACATTTTCAGCATTATTTTCTGCTTGACCTTGTGTGGCTCTGTCCCTAACCTTCTCTCCCATTTTATTTTTCTTGTGGGAACCAGAAAAATAATGCACACAAGGCTTTCTAAAATTTTCTGTTTCCATAAGCAATCATGGATAAATAATTTTATCATATGTGCTAAATCTCAATAGGAGTAAGAATTTTGACAGTGAGGCAATCAGTCATTTTCCATAATTTTTTTTTAGGTTTTTAAAAATCTCATCAATATTGACAAGCCAACCTATTCAGCTTCTCCAATTGTGTACTTCAAAAAGGCAGTAGTGGTTGGAAGAGGAAATAGACCTTTTGTAAGTCAGAAATTTATCTCTTCAAATAGGATGATATAGCAAATGCACCATTCCATAGTGTTCATATCCACTTGTACAGAATCAGCAAGGTTTTTTTGGAGCAAGTTTTGTGTGAACTGAGTTGCATTCTAGACCAAGCCTTGGATTAACTCTCCATGTACTTCCTGGGAATCATTCAGGCCTCCAGGATTGGGATGTTTTATTTCCTCAGCATAAACATGAAGCATCAAAGAAACTGAACTGACTGCCATTTGAGTAAAAAGGAACAATAGTGAATTGAAAAGTAGGTATTGAAATTGTTTGATTTCAGCATTCTGGTGACAGACACTTAATAACACAAATCTGAATCCGATGAGTCCACCTCCGTATCTCCCACTTACCCAGTCTTGAGGCTGCTTCTAATTCTTCAGCCCCACAAACCTTAAGTTGGCTGGTTCTGGCTCAAAGCAAAGGTATGGGAATGCTTTTGGATGTTGTAGAGGATCAGAATGTCGAGATCTGAAGTATCCAAGACAGATGTTTTGACTCATTACCACTAATGTCTTTAGGATAGAAGACGACTCCAGACCTGACCAGACTGCCAGCAGTTTTCTCCAGACTAGACTTTCATTCATGGGCAAAGATTAAAACTGGACTAGCACAATCAACAGAGTGAAAAGCAACCTACAGAAGGGGAGAAAATATTTGCAGATTCTGTATCTGATAAGAGCGCAATATCTAGAATATAAAAGGAGCTCTTGCAGCTCAACAAAAAGAGCACTAATTTTAAAATGAGCAGAGGACAAATGGCCAACAAGCATATAAGAACATAGATACTCAAGATTACTAATCATTAGGGAAATGCGAATCAAAACTACAATTAGGTACTGCCTCATGCCTATTAGGCTAGTCAGATTAAAAAAAAAAAAAAAAAAAAAACAAGTGTTGACATGAATGTGGAGAAATTGGAACTTTCATGCACTATTGGTAGGAATGTAAAATGGTGCAGCCATTGTAGAAAACAATATGGAGGTTCCTCAAAAAATTAAAAATAGAACTACCAGCAATTCTACTTCTGGGTAATTATCAAAAAGAATTGAAAGCAAGATCTTGAAGAGAGGTTCCTACACCCATGTTCATAACAGCATTATTCACAATAGCCAAGAGGTGGAAGCAGCCCAAATGTCCATCAAGGAATGAATGAATGAAGAAAAATGTTACATACATTCAGCCTTAAAAGGAAGGAAATCCTGTTATTTACCACATGTGTGAACCTTGAGGATATTATACTAAGTGAAATAAGCCGGTCACAAAAAGACAAATATTATGTCACTTATATGCAGTAACTAGAGTAGTCAAATTAATAGAAACAGAGTTGAATGATGGTTACCAGGGACTGGCTAGAAGGGGAAAATGGGGAGTTGTTTAATGGATGTAGAGTTTCAGTTTTACACAGCGAAAAGGTTCTGGAGATCTGCTGCACAACAATGTAAGTATGCATGACATTACTGAACTGTAGTGTTTTTTTGTTTCACCATAATAAAATTATTTCTTTAATGAACTGGGCACCAAAGTTCAGTAGGCAAGGAACAGTTTATTTACCTGAATTCTGTTGCCTCCTCTCATCAACTGTTGATCCCACCCCAGGATTCATTGTGTGTCTTAGTATGGTAACATCATTTAACATATCTTAAACATTTCTCTCTCTTTTTTTTTTTGAGACAAGGTCTTGCTCTGTCACCCAGGCTGGAGCGCAGTGGTGTGATCTCAGCTCAGTGCTACCTCCACCTCCCAGGTTCAAGTGATTCTCCTGCCTCAGACTCCCAAGTAGCTGGGACTACAGGTGCATGCCACCACGCCCGGCTAATTTTTGTATTTTTTAAAGTAGTGACAGGGTTTCACCATGTTGGCCAGGATGGTCTTGAACTCCTAACCTCAAGTTATCTGCCCACCTTGGCCTCCCAAAGTGCTGGGATTACAGGAGTGAGCCACTGCACCTGGCCTCATTAAACATACCTTGTTTTTAAAAATATGAGTTATCGGCCGGGAGTGATGGCTCACGCCTGTAGTCCCAGCACTTTGGGAGGCCGAGATGGGCGGATCACGAAGTCAGGAGATCGAGACCATCCTAGCTAACACAGTGAAACCCCGTCTCTACTAAAAATACAAAAAAATTAGCCAGGCATGGTGGCAGGCACCTGTAGTCCCAGCTACTTGGGAGGCTGAGGCAGGAGAATGGCATGAACCCGGGAGGCAGAGCTTGCAGTGAGCCAAGATTGCACCACTGCACTCCAACCTGGGCAACTGAGTGAGACTCTGTCTCAAAAAAAAAAAAAAAAAATATATATATATATATATATGAATTATCTTCCTTCAGTATTTTAATTCCTTGACATTTCGTCATGCTCTTTCGACATCTCATCAACACTCTATCAAGGGTCAGCAAACTATAGCTCATGGGCTAAATCTGGCTTGCAGGGTTTGAGAATGGTTTTTTATATTTTTAAAGGGTTATTTTAAAAGAAGAGGAAGAAGAGGAAGGAAGAAAAGGAGGAAGGAGGAGAAGAAATCATATGTGGCTCACAAAACTTAAAATATTTACACTCTTGGCTGTTTGCAGGAAAATTTTGCTAGTTTGCTGACCCCTGAAAACTATATAGCACGTTTCGCATTTTTTGTATTCTGCTGGTGTATTAGGTGCAAGAAATAGAACCAAACTATTTTCAGCAAAAATGGATTTAATGCAGGGTATCTGGAGCTTATAAAATCATTGGAAAGTCTAAAGGAATGGTCACTTAGCAGGCCTCCAGGAATGATTTCTAGAGCAAGTCTGCTGGATGGTCTACTGAGGAGCTGCCATCTCTGCAATAATCAGAAAGGCGCAGGCAGTCAGGGACCTCTAGCAGAGTGTTGAGTGTAAAGACATACTGCCGTACTTGTGATCCAAGGATCAAGAGGCCACTACTGCCCCTACAACTTCCTCTAAACAGGCACAGGGTGGGACCTAGACACTGAAATACTGCTACAGAAATGCCCAATGTATCTACAACTAGTTTTCCAGCAAAAACAAAACATAACTGTAGCCTAGGATCCACCTTCCAAGTGCATCTAATTGGCAGAAGCATAACCCTACCTGTGGGACACGAGGGAAATGTGTCTTTTCCTTCTTTAACCTCTGTATTCAAAGAAAGCACACTAGAAGATTGGAATGGCTAACAGCCAGAGCCAGTCCAGAGTACCCACCACAGCAGGTTTGTTGCTTTAGGCTCTATTCAACTCTTCTCATCTTTGGCCAACTCCTAATTCTTTCCTTTGAGGAACCTTCCCTACCTCCACTGTTAGTGGATTAGATGCCCTTTCATAACCTTCCATAGCTCTTAGCCCTAGCTCTGCAATGTGTTTATCACTCCATGTCATAATGGCCTGATTTCTTGCTGCTGCTTCCACTAGACTAGCTCTTTGCAGAAACTCAGTTTTATTCATCACTGTGTAGGTAATTGGTGTGTATTTGTTGTGAATGATAAATAGTTTATATATTATAACATCCCAAATAGCATTTCTTCTCTTATTTTCTTTGTTCCATATGACTGTGCACTGATACCTGTATACAGTGAAAACTCAGTAAATGTTGTTAACTGACTGGTTTCCTTTTTTGTCAGCGCAAAGAGAAGTTCTACCCATACTCTATATGTGTGTCTTTGTTTGACTCCCTGTGTACCTATATAGGTCAATAAATGCAATGGAACACTAATATTTGAACAGTTTCAACATACTAGGTAATACATGAAGCACTTTATACATACTATCTAATTAAATCCTCACAATTATCCTATGAAATTGATATTTTTATTCTCATTTTATAGATAAAGAAACTGGGACTTAAGTAGCTTGTCCACAGTTACACAATAAGTGACAGAACTGGGACTCACATGGAGGTCTGGCTAATACCAAAATTTGTAACCATGATGATGATGATGATTGTGATAATGATGACAGCTAATAGTTCCAGACTTGGTGCTAGGCATTTTGTGTGTATTATCTCAAGCTACATATTGCCTTGTCTGGAATTGATGCTTAATAGTTGTTACATGCGATAAGGTAAATAAAGCTCTTGATAACTGTGATGTATTTCTGACTCTGCCACTAATTTACTTTGTGACCTCAGGTGAACTACTAAGTCTCTGAGCTCCAGTTTTCTCCTCTGCAAAACAGAGAACAATCTTTATGATACTTTAGTTCAAAAAGTCCAGAACTCCATGAATAAATTCTGCTTAGTTTTTCATTCCATCATTATTACTTCTGTGTGGTAAGATCTTAACTTCTAAATTCTAAGCTCCTATAGGATCTCAATTTTGTTTTATAGTTTTCTTCTGTGGTACCTGGTCTGGTGCTCTGCACAGTACATAACAGGCTCATGGTAAGTATGTATAAAGATATATAGATCCAGATTGAAATTTGTCCAAGGGGAAATATCCATCTTCACAAGAATCTGTGCTTGTTGTCATACAGTATATTCCTTCAGGGGTGACATTCAAATGTAATTTAGGGCTACCACAGAGAAATCAGCACACAGAACCTTCAGAAACCTTTTCTCTTTCTGTAGTCACAGATAAGAGTCTTATCCTTAAAGCAGAGCTGTGATCACTGCCTAAGCAGCTACTCTTATGGCTGAATGCAGAAGATTTCTTTTGTGCTGAGTGCAGGTAAAAAGGTCTTGGCCTGTGGATAATGGCAGATATAGGAAGGAGTGTTCTAGAGGGAACCGACTCTCTATCTCTCTCTCTTTTTCCACCCCACCCCCCATCTCTTATAGGGGAATCAGAGAATCCCAAATCATTTCATAGCTTTGACAAATTACACATGAAGAGTTAATGCCTGATTCCTGAGCAGCAGGAAAATCCCCAAACTGTTGAGAGTCAGCATGGATAGATCCACAAGCTCTTGCTACAGTTTCTTTAAGGACTTGAATACAAAGAATCAACAGAGGTGATTGTATGAATCACCTCTGTATGGAAACTGATATTAAGAATCATTCATCTGACTGGGAAAACACTACATATTAAAAGAAAAAAAAAGAAAACAGAACTCTGTAACCTGTTCATATGTGCATCTGTGCATTTCTTAGTAACGGTCACCATGGTAGCAAAGCAGTTTGACAAGGGTGCCTTTTTAGCACAGTACATATAAAGGAGAAAGATGAACAGCCAATCATGTACTTACTATCTTATACCTTTCTTTGTTTCTTTATTTCCCTTTATTTAATTGTGTTGGTCGTAAATCCATAGCTATTAGCCTCTGACACTTACCTTCCTCAAGCATCAAGTACAGTGCTAGAAATATATTAGGCACTAAAACATGTATGGTATTCATTTATTTGATTGTGTTGATCCTAAATCTGTAGCTGTTAGCCTCTGACACTTACCTTCCTCAAGGATCAAGTACAGTGCTAGAAATATATTAGGCACTAAAACATGTATGGTTATTGACAGAATTAAATGAATGGTATTTCTGGCCAGGCACAGTGGCTCACGCTTGTAATCTCAGCATTTTGGGAGGCCAAGCCTGGCAGATCATTTGAGCACAGGAATTCAAGACCAGCTTGAGAAACATGGCAAAACCCTGTCTCTACAAAAAAAAAAAAAAAAAAGGTTAGCCAGGCATGGTGGTGTATGCCTGTGGTACCAACTACTCAGGAGGCTGAGCTGGGGGGATCACCTGAGCTCAGGGAAGTTGAGGCTGCAGTGACCCATGATTGCAACACTGCACTCCAGGCTGGGCAACACAGTGAGACCCTGTTTCAAAAAAAAAGGTATTTCTGCTGTGTCTTCCTTTCCAAGTGAGAGAGGGTCACTCAGAATTTGATTTTAAGAAATGGCCTCAGCAGGGCTTGGTGGCTTAAACACCTGTAATACCCTGCACTTTGGGAGGCCAAGGGAGGAGGATCACTTG